AATTTCAGTGCTCACTTAGGAAGAATGAAAGGAAGCTAGCATTTTCCTTTAACTTCATGTTCTGCTATATAGATTAGAGCTCCAGATAAGAATTTATAAATTAGACTTTTTTAACCAACCATGCCAACCATGAATTTTTAACTGGATTTTCTGAAGGAAAAAAACAGTTATTGTCCCCCACATGATGTGTTGCAGGGGACATAGATATACGGGGCATGTGTAAAATCAGTTCCAATCAATCTATTTTTATGGGGCATTAAGTTTTACCCTTGTCCGTCTGTACGTCCTAAAGTTGGTTTCCTTTCAAAAAGGAAAAATTGCTGAATATATCGTTTCCGTTTTCTAACATTAGTTTGTGTCAACCAAATGTTATGAAACTTATACACAATGCTTATTACCACATAATTCAGATCAAGTACAAATTTGGGTACTGTCACTTTTATCATGTCCCTTTATAACTTTATATGCAAGCGAGGGCATCATCTGTGTCCCATGGACACATTCCCCATTTATTTTAAGAGTTATCCCCTTGGACATATTAACTAGATATGGAAAATTGCATTGTAAGTTAAAGCATTCTCCTGCACAATTTTTGCCAGATTTATATCAAAGGTTCACATAAGCAATGTCTCGGACAAGATCGAAAATCAGTGCAGATCAAATATTTTTAAAAGTTATGCCCCTTGGAAGTATTAATTATATTCGAAATTACAGTGTACATGGTGTATTTGCTCTCAAGCCTTCATTTCTCCAAGATATTTGTAAAAAGTTTTAAAGAACAAAAAAAAGTTTTTTTAGTTATTGCCCTTGGATAGATAAAATATGTGCAACACGGGGGACATTGTAGCTCTGTTTTTGATTTGGTGAAGTTATGTGGGCAGGTAGCTGCTAATAGTTTCTGTGCAATAACTTGTGAAACGTTCAACCAATGCTTTTCAAATTGTAATATGTTGATACTTATGACAAAATGGAGGTCAAGTTCGATATTTACAATATTCACTTCAACCTTTCAGGAGTAATGGTCCTTGATATATTGGAAAATGGCACTTAACGTCATTTCTGTTCAATTACTTATAAACTTTTTTATAAGACCGCAAAATGCTATGATGTCTTTATCTTCGTCGTCCGAAGACACATTTGGTTTTCGGACAATAACTTTAGTTTAGTTTAATGGATCTCTATGAAATTTTACCAGAAGGTTCAATACCACAAAGGGAAGGCTGGGATTGATTTTGGGGGTGATAGTACCAACAGTTTAGGAATTACGGGCCAAAAACAAGCATTTTTGTAGTTTCCAGACAATAACTTGTGTCTAAGTGTATGGATCTCTCTGAAATTGTACCACAAGGTTCCATATCACAGTGGGAAGGATGGGATTGAGTTTGGGGGTAATTGCCCCAAGCGTTCAGGAATTAAGGGCAAAAAGGGGCCAAAAACAAGCATTTTTCTAGTTTCCAGACAATAAATTGTGTTTAAGTGTAATTGGATCTCTCTGAAATTGTACTTCAAGGTTCCATACCACAAAGGGAAGGCTGGGAATGAGTTTGGGGGTAATTGCCCCAAACGTTTAGAAATGAGGGGCAAAAAAGGGGCAAAAAACAAGCATTTTTCTAGTTTCCCGACAATAACTTGTGTTAAAGTTTATGGAACTCTCTGATATTGTACATTTTTCCTGAAAAGAAACCATCTTCAAAATTTCAAAAAAAAATTTTTTGGGGGGGGGGGGGGGGGGGGGGGTGGGAAAGTTCACACAAAGTTTGGGGGAATTTTTTTCAAATTTTGTTTGGGGGTTCATATTTTTTTCTTCAAAATTTTTGAAATTTCAAATTTTTTCATAATTTTTATACGACCGCAAAAAGATTTTTGTGGTCATATATTGGTATGAAATTGGCGTCGTCGTCGTCGTCCGAAGACACATTTGGTTTTCGCACTGTAACTTTAGTTTAAGGGAATGGATCTCTATGAAATTTACCATAGGGTTGAATACCACAAAAGAAATAAAGGTTGGGATTGATTTTGGGGGTTATGGTACCAACAGTTAAGGAATTAGGGGCCAAAAAGGGGCCAAAAATAATCATTTTTGTAACTTCCAGACATAACTTGTGTGTTAGTGTATGGATCTCTCTGACATTGTACCACAAGGTTCCATATCACAAAGGGAATGCTGGGATTGATTTTGGGGGTAATTGCCTCAAAATTTAGGAATTAAGGGCAAAAAAGGGGCAAAAAACAAGCATTTTTCTAATATCAGGACAATAACTTGTGTGTAAGTGTATGGATCTTTATGAAATTGTACTGCAAGGTACCATACCACAAAGGGAAGGCTGGGATTGAGTTTGTGGGTGATGAATCATAAGGGGGTTTAAAAAATTTGGGGGAGGGATTTTTTTTTCCTTTTTTTCCTTTTTTTTTTCTTTAAAATTTTCCATTTTAAATTGGTTATTTCTGATTTATATATAAAAGCAAATAATAATGATATGATTTGAATAGGTAAATTAAAATTTTTTAAGTTCTTAGACCACATTCATTCTGTGTCAGAAACCTATGCTGTGTCAAATATTTAATCACAATCCAAATTCAGTGCTGTATCAAGCTTGAATGTTGTGTCCATACTTGCCCCAACTGTTCAGGGTTTGACCTCTGCGGTCGTATCAAGCTGTGCCCAGCGGAGCATTTTATTTGTTTTTTTTTCCCAAAAATTTTCCATTTTTACATTGATTATTTCTGATTTATATATAAAAACAACAAATACTGATATGGCAGGAGATACACACCAAACAGGGTGTGTAAATTATTATATATAACAGATTAACTAAGTATTGTGCAACAGCACAGTATTGCGCTAGCAAGAAATCTTCAATTGAAAATAAATACAAATCTTTCAACCAATTTCAAAGGGATTAATTTAAAGTCTTTAATTTTTGGTGGTTCTAACCTTGTACAAAATGTATTACTATTTTGGATATTGGGTCCCATTTTTTAATTGGTCTACATTGAGGTCCAAAGGGTCCAAAACTAAAGTTTGTTTGATTTCATCAAAAACTGAATTATTGCGGCTCTATGATATGCTGAATCTTATTGTGCATTTAGATTTTTTATTTTGGGCCCTGTTTTCAAATCAGTCCATATTAAGGTTTGAAGGGTCCCAAATTAAACCTTGTTTGATTTCAACTAAAATTAAATCTTTGGTGTTTTTTTTTATGCTGAATCTAACCATGTTGTTAGATTTTGGATATCAGACCATACTAGGTAAATTAAATGTCCGATTTCAAATTTTTAAGATCTTTGACCACATTTATTTTGTGTCAGAAACCTATATTATGTCAAAAATTTGATCACAATCCAAATTCAGACAGTCAGTCAGGGGTACTACTTGTACAAGTAATTTTTATTTACTTGAAGAAGTAAAAAAAAATATACTTATATGAGTAAATTATAATGTTTGAATAATCTCCCCTTAATTTTCTCAAAAATTTACTTATACAAGTAAATTTTTTTTACAATCCCACCAAAATACTCAAGTTTTGAGATGTAAAATCATGCCTTTAATGATTTTTCCCAGGTTAGCTCATAATTTTTGATTAGAGTTCAATGTTTCATCTCATTAATTCAACAAAGAAACTGATTGCGCAAAGATCTTAAGTATTTGTGCAAAGCCTTCAAAAATTGCTCCTTTGGGGCTTGTAAATGACCAGTGTTCTGAAGATAACAGACAAATGGGATTTTCATTGTCCATGAAATTACACTTAAATGATTAGTAAAGACATCTGCAATGGGCAGACAAATTAAAATTCTATTAGAGCAAAGAAATCCTAAAAATTTAAGAAATGAAGATAAGATGACTTTTTCACTTATATAAGTAAAAAAATCTGAATGTCTAAGGGACATAACTACGTCAATTATTTTTTTACCTATACAAGTAAATAAAATTCACTTGTATAAGTATCCTACAAATTTACTTATATAAGTATATTTTTTTTTACTTCTTCAAGTAAATAAAAATTACTTGTACAAGTAGTACCCCTGACTGACAGTATGAAGCTTGAATATTGTGTCCAAACTTGCCCCAACTGTTCAGGGTTCGACCTCTGGGGTCGTATCAGGCTGTGCTCGGCGAAGCATTTTATTCAAATTATGATATGTTGTTACTGATAACAAAATGGAGTTCAAGTTCAACATTGACGATTTTCACTTTAACTGTTCAGACAGTATGGTCCTTCATCTATTGGAAAATTGCACTTTGTTTCATTTCTGTGCAATTACTTATGATGAACCACTTGAGTTTAAGGGGAATCATTAGTGGAATTCAATGATATTTGGTTTGCACTTGTATTAGCATTGGCACATCTCATATCCATGAAGATTATTTGCCCCCCTTTCTTTTCAATTTTGAATGATCTAAAAAAATATGCATACCATTTTGTATAATTAGATATCTACATGTAAAATCAAATTTTTTCCAAGTGTGTGATTGTCCATATCTAGTTTAAATTAAAAAAAATAAAATAAAGAGGAATAGGACTGACAGAGTACACAGCTTAGCTACATAGCCTCTTTGGGTTTATGGGTTGAGGACTTACAAAGAAAAATTGTATACCTAAAAATATTGAACAGAGGTTCACCCTAACTTTTCAGTGTGTGATTTTCAGATATCCCCATACCTCATAACTTGGGTAAAAAACCCAAAGGAGACAGATTAATGCATATAGAAAAACAGATTGCAAAACTATTGTACCTTTTAGCTTTGCAGTCTGAGCATGCATACAAAGGTCTTTCATTATGCAAAAACATGTTGAAATACAAGTTGTATATAACCTACATGTAAGATGTATATTTCAAATTGTCTATTACCAGATTACATTGTAGTTTTCTATTTAGCTTCAACTAGCTATATAGCTTGTATATATTACATGTAAAAAGTAATGCTATTCTGATTATTTTTGTTGCCACTCTTTAATTTATGAAATGTTTATATGCTCTGTATTGTTTTTGTTGGTCAGAGGAGAGTTAAACTGGTTAGATATAATAAAGAAGGACATTGATTCAATGGACCCATCAATTGAAAACTATGACTCCTGGTTTGATGATTGGATGGAAGAAGCAGTGGAAAATTCTGAGAAAAGCTCAACTGATGGATATCATCAGAAGAAAGATAAATGTGACAGGTATGGGTAGTATATATTTAATGATAGAGATAACATTGTCCCAACCGTGCGAGGGCTGAACAGCCAGTCAAGGTCGTTAAACACTTCCAGTAGTAGTCCATATACATTTACATTACTTTGCATGAACAACCAAAGATTTTTCTAGCATTCCACAGGGTCTGTTATTTCGGACCCTTTCCCAATGACAAAACCCCTACATTTTTCCCAATTTTGGGGGCAAAATTCCCAAACAATCTCAAAATTCATTTTGATCTTTATTATTCATGTTTCTTTTTGTTCAACCGCTAGCTTTATGCCGAAAATCGTCAACAAGTAATGTGTAAATCGTCGTTTGTGCAAGAGACTCCCGCTCAAAACGGCAGGATTGGCAGGTATGATGGTATTGGGTCTGTTTACTCCCAATACACGTTCGCACCCTACATGTTCGCACCCCACATTTAGATAAATAAAAAAAAATCAAGACAGGTGACAAAATACAGCTATGAAATATAAACACTAGAATTGAAAACCAAAAGATATTTGAAAAAGAAAGAAAGAGGAAATATTTTATACAAAAACTCAAAATTATTTTTAATTCACAAATGTTCATGTCAAAATCCAATAAAATGTGACATTACTTTTCTTTATCACTAAAAAATGTTGATATAAGATGTTTTTATAAAGTAAAAAATATAACTTTAGATCCAAGAGGTAATTTCTTCTCAATTTTGAAGGGCCAGTAAAAAATTTTGGAAGAGCAAGTGAATTTAAAAAAGTGTTAGCCTGCTTGGCTAGCTGTTGGCAAGTTAAAATACACAAATGTACATCTTATTTCTATCCCTGAATTATTTATTATATTAACCATGTTAACTGTTACTGTCTTTGAAGATAAAAAAGGCGGTAAATTTTTATCACATGTGTGCTTTGAGAACTACGATATTTTGATACTAAGATAAACTTGATTGCCTTGTTGTTTATATCTAGTTTAAAAACAGAAAGAACAGAAAATAAAATTATAAATAGCAATCATGTACTTTCTTACTTTATTTTAACAAAAACAGATAATTTTTAATGAACTACACATGAGCATGATAATGAAGGTGTGCATGTCCACAGGATTTTGATTTTTTGTCTCACCTCTGACGAAAGTCGCAGTATGTGAGACTTGGGTATTACTATCCAACGGCTGCGGCGGTGTAAACTATTTGTATAAAGCTTTATACTTCAGAAGGAAGACAACCTGCATGCTTCATATCTTGTATGCAGATACCTTATGTTATAAAGTTTGAGTCTGTCATATGTCCATTGTCCTTGGCCTCATTTTCTGGTTCAGTGACTGCTTGAAAAAAAAAAGTTTTTTTGTCATAAGAATTTCACACTTATTATGAGTAATAGAAGAACTATATTTGGTATATGGGTTCCTTGCAACGTCTACATGTCCGCCAGACAGGTTTCACCTGATCTCGACCTCATTTTATTGATTCAGTGATCAAGGTTAAAGTTATGTGATTAGGTCTTTTATCAAATTATACTATAAGCAGTAGGTCAACTATATGTGGTGTATGGAATGATTGTAATGGGTACATGTCTATCTGGCAGGTTTCATTTGACCTTGACCTCATTTTCAGGGTTCATTGGTTAATGTTAAGTTTTTATACGTCCGTTTACGGGACATATTATGGTATACCGTTGTCCGTCTGTCCGTCCGTCCGTCGTCAACATGTCGGACATTAACTCAGAAACGCTTTAACCAATTTGCATAAAATTTTGGTGAATTGTTTATATCTATTGACGTGAGCTCCCTTTCTTTTTTTATAAATTTTAGATTTTACGTTTCCGAGTTATGGGGTTTTATTCATTAAAAAAAGGGGGGTTTTCCAGTTTTCGGACAATAAGTCAAGAATGCTTTCACCAACTTGCAAGAAATTTTTGTTAATTGTTTATATCTATTGACATGAGCTCCCTTTTGATTTTTATAAATTTTAAACTTTACGTTTCCAGGTTACGGGGTTTTATTCATAAAAAAAAAGGGGGATTTTCCAGTTTTCGGATAATAACTCAAAAATGCTTTCAGCAGTTCTCATGAAACTTTGATGAATTGTTGATATCTATTGATGTAAGCTCCCTTTAGAATTTTATAAATTTTACATTTTACATTTCCGAGTTATGGGGTTTTATTCATTTAAAAAAGGGGGGATTTTCCAGTTTTCAGACAATAACTCAAAAATGCTTTCAGCAATTCTCTTGAAACTTTGGTGAATTATTTATAGCTATTGATGTAATCTCCCTATTGATTTTCATAAATTTCAAATATGACATTGAGAAGAAATTGAACTTTATTTGTTTATAGTCTGACAACAGATTTACTAAGTATTGCGCAACAGCATAGTGTATTGCACAACAGCAAGAAATCTTTAATTGAATATAAATTCAATTCATATAACCAATTTCAAGTTCTTTGACTACATTTATTCAGAAACCTATAATATGTCAAATATTTAATTACAATCCAAATTCAGACCTGTATCAAGCTTGAATATTGTGTCCATTTTTGCCCCAACTGTTCAGGGTTGGACCTCTGCGGGCATATCCAGCTGCGCTCAGCGAAGTATTTAGAAGTCAAATATACTTTTAGTTTTGTCAGCGTTATTCCTATGAAAAGGTAAACAATTGAAATTAGAATTTGCTTATTTACCATGCCAATGACAGCTATCAAAACATTACATTTGATTGAAAAGTAACTATTCGAGGATTGTTTCAGAAAGTTGAAGCCAGTCAAGCTTGACATACAATTCTATGTCCTGATTAAACATGTTAAAAGATTTGCTGTTGCAAATATCAAATATCCTGTAAAAATCATTTGAAAACAATTTGAACCTTTTAATACATTTCTGTTGGAGAGAATAATTTTGTTATCACTTAATTAAGTTTTAAATAAAATCCATATGCTCTAGATATTACACTGAAAGAAAACACACTAACTTCTTTCCATTTATCTTCCTCCTGTGTATAGGAGCACATTAGCTATAATTGATTTCTAATTACATGTATAGCTGGGGTTTATGACATTCATTAATATAAAGAAGTAAACTAGTGTGAATAAAACAATAAAAGGGCATTGCTTTAGAAAGATATTTAATTAATGATTAATATTTATATACTTAACAAATACAAAAGTCATTATTTTTAGGAAACTCAGTGGTACATGTATATGTTATAGTATATAAAAAAAAACCTCCCAATACTAAAATTGGACCTAAAAAGTTTGTACGCATTATGACCTGACATTTTCTTCTTCAATGCAGGTCATGACCTGCATTTTCAGTCTCAGAGGTTGACAGGTATGGGTGAACATGTCTGTCTGGTAGGAATCATGTGACCTTGACCTCATTTTCATGGTTCATTGGTCAATGTTAAGTTTTATACGACCTCAAAAATTTTGTGGTTGTATATTGGTATCACATCATCGTCAGCGTCGTCCGAAGACATTTGGTTTCCGAACAATAACTTTAGTAGAAGTAAGTAGAAATCTATGAAATTTAAACACAAGGTTTATAACCACAAAAGGAAGGTTGGGATTAATTTTGGGGGTTATAGTCCTAACAGTTTAGGAATTAGGGGCCAAAAAGGGGCCCAAATAAGCATTTTTCTAGTTTCCAGACAATAACTTGTGGAACGGTGTATGGATCTCTCTGAAATTATACCACAAGTTTCCATACCACAAAGGGATGGTTAGGATTGGCTTTGGGGGGTAATGGCTCAAACCGTGTAGGAATTAGGGGCAAAAAAGGGAGAAAAACAAGGGTTTCCTTGTTAATGGACAATTACTTTAAAGTACAATGTTTTGTGTTTGGATTACCTCCCTTACACTGCTTTTAAATTATGTATAAAGAAATGTTGTATTGTCTTGAGGTGATTAGCTGTCAATTTATTTTTAACAGTTACTATTAAAAATGCTGATGAAGGAATATTAATTTTAGACATTATTATGTATGTCATTTTCTCTTTTAAGACTTTTATGATGTATTTAAATGGGTAGTTATGGTTGCAAACTCCATTGGAAATTTAAATAGATATAATGACCATATCTAAAGGGAAAGAATTTATAAGTGGGGGGGGGAGGTGAAAAAAGAAAATTGGAAGGGGGGGGACATTTTTTTTCTCTCATTTCAGAATTCAGAAATTGAAAAGAAAATTTCTTCAATTATTTTTTTTTTTGGGGGGGTAAAAAAGGGGGGGGGGGGGGGGGGGGTAAAAATTCGCAACAGCATAGTGTATTGCACATAAGCAAAAAAAAAAGGAGGGTAAAATTTTTTTAAATTTTTTTTTGGGGTGCGAGGTATAATTTGCAACAGCATAGTGTATTGCACAAAAGCAAAAAATTGAATATAAATTCAAATCATATAACCAATTCTAAGTTCTTTGACTACAGTTATTATGTGTCAGAAACCTATTATGTGTCAAATATTTAATTACAATCCAAATTCAGACCTGTATCAAGCGTGAATATTGTGTCCATTTTTGCCCCAACTGTTCAGGGTTGGACCTCTGCGGTCGTATCCAGCTGTGCTCGGTGAAGCACATTATGTGTGTTTTGGTCTTCTTTTCAAATACTATAAGCAGTAGGTCAACTATATTTAGTATATGGAATGATTGTAAGGTGTATATATCTGTCTGGCAGATACCATCCTACCTTGACCTCATTTTCATGGTTCTAAAGTCAATCTTAAGTTTTTTGTGTTTTGGTCTGTTTTTATACGACCGCAAACAAATTTTGTGGTCGTATATTGGTATGACGTTGGCGTTGTCGTCGTCGTCCGGCGTCTTCGTCGTCGTTGTCCGAAGACACATTGGTTTTTCGCACTCTAACTTTAGTTTAAGTGAATGGATCTCTATGAAATTTTACCATAAGGTTCAATACCACAAAAGGAAGGTGGGGATTGATTTTGGGGGTTATGGTACCAACGGTTAAGGAATTAGGGGCCAAAAAGGGGCCAAAAATAAGCATTTTTATACGACCGCAAAAATTGAAAATTTTTTGGTCGTATATTGGTATGATGTTGGCGTCGTCGTCATCGTCGTCGTCGTCGTCGTCTGGCGTCGTCCGTCGTCGTCCGAAGACACATTGGTTTTCGCACTCTAACTTAAGTTTAAGTGAATGGATCTCCATGAAATTTTACCGTAAGGTTCAATACCACGAAAGGAAGGTTGGGATTGATTTTGGGGGTTATGGTACCAACAGTTAAGGAATTAGGGGCCAAAAAGGGGCCAAAAATAAGCATTTTTGTAACTTCCAGACAATAACTTGTGTGTAAGTGTATGGATCTCTCTGACATTGTACCACAAGGTTCCATATCACAAAGGGAAGGCTGTAATTGATTTTGGGGGTAATTGCCTCAAAATTTTAGGAATTAGGGGCCAAAAAAGGGGCAAAAAACAAGCATTTTTCTAGTTTCATGACAATAACTTGTGTGTAAGTGTTTGAATATTTCTGAAATTGTACTACAAGGTTCCATATCACAAAGGGAAAGCTGGAATTGAGTTTGTGGGTAATTGCCCGAAACGTTTAGGAATTGGGGGCCAAAAAGAGGCCAAAAATAAGCATTTTTCTAGTTTCCAGACAATAACTTGTGTTCAAGTGTATGGATCTCTCTGAAATTGTACTGCAAGGTACCATACCACAAAGGGAAGGCTTGGATTGAGTTTGGGGGTGATGAATCATAAGGGGGTTCAAAAAATTTGGGGGGGGATTTTTTTTTTTCTTTTTTTTCCTTTTTTACCTTTTTTTTTTCTTTCAAAATTTTCCATTTTAAGTTGGTTATTTCTGATTAATATTTAAAAGCAAATAATAATGATATGGTAGGAGATACACACCAAACAGGATGTGTAAATTATTATATAATAAGTATTGTGCAATAGCAAGAAATTTTCAATTGCACAGTATTGCACAATAGCAAGAAATCTTCAATTGCACAGTATTGCGCAATAGCAAGAAATCTTCAATTGCACAGTATTGCGCAATAGCAAGAAATATCCAATAGCACAATATTGCGCAATAGCAAGAAATTGTCAATTGTACAGTATTGCACAATAGCAAGAAATATTCAATTGCACAGTATTGTGCAAAAGAAGATACTTCGTATAAATTGCTTATTTCTTGATCAATTTCAATGGGGTTTTATTCTTGAATTCTTGGGGTTCTTTAATATGCTGAATCTAACCGTGTATTAAGTTTTTGGATTTTGGGCCCCGTTTTTAAATTGGTCCACATTGAGGTCCAAAGGGTCCAAAATTTAAATTTGTTTGATTTCATCAAAAATTGAATTATTGGGGATCTTTGATATGCCGAATCTAACCGTGTATTTAGATTCTTAATTTTTGGTTCCGTTTTCAAATTGGTCTACATGAAGGTCAAAAGGGTCCAAAATTAAACTTAGTTTGATTTTAACAAAAAATTAATTTTTAGGGTTCTTTGATATGCTGAATCTAAACATGTATTTAGATTTTAGATTTTTGGCCCAGTTTTCAAGTTGGTCCAAATCGGGGTCCAAAATTAAACTTTGTTTCATTTCAACAAAAATTGAATATATGGGGTTCTTTGATATGCTGAATCTAACCATGTATTTAGATTTTTGATTTTTGGGCCCCGTTATCAACTTTGTCCACATTGAGGTCAAAAGGGTCCAAAATTAAACTTTGTTTGATTTCATCAAAAATTGAATTATTGGGGTTCTTTGATATGCCAAATCTAACTGTGTTTTTAGATTTTTAATTTTGGGTCCTGTTTTTTAAATTGGTCTACATTAAGGTCCAAAGGGTCCAAAATTAAACTTAGTTTGATTTTAACAAAAATTGAATTCTTGGGGTTCTTTGATATGCTGAATCTAAACATGTGTTTAGATTTTTGATTATGGGACCAGTTTTCAAGTTGGTCCAAGTTGGGGTCCAAAATTAAACTTTGTTTGATTTCAACAAAAATTGAATATATGGGGTTCTTTGATATGCTGAATCTAAACATGTATTTAGATTTTAGATTTTTGGCCCAGTTTTCAAGTTGGTCCAAATTGGGGTCCAAAATTAAACTTTGTTTGATTTCAACAAAAATTGAATATATGGGGTTCTTTGATATGCTGAATCTTACCATGTATTTAGATTTTTTATTTGTGGGCCCGCTATCAAATTGGTTCATATTGAGGTCAAAAGGGTCCAAAATTAAACTTTGTTTGATTTCATCAAAAATTGAATTATTGGGGTTCTTTGATATGCCAAATCTAACCGTGTATTTAGATTTTTAATTTTGGGTCCCGTTTTTTAAATTGGTCTACATTAAGGTCCAAAGGGTCCAAAATTAAACTTAGTTTGATTTTAACAAAAATTGAATTCTTGGGGTACTTTGATATGCTGAATCTAAACATGTGTTTAGATTTTTGATTATGGGACCAGTTTTCAAGTTTGTCCAAGTTGGGGTCCAAAATTAAACTTTGTTTGATTTCAACAAAAATTGAATATATGGGGTTCTTTGATATGCTGAATCTAACCATGTATTTTGATTTTGGACATTGGACCATAATAGGTAAATTAAAAAAATTGAAGTTCTTAGACCACATTCTTTCTGTGTCAGAAACCTATGCTGTGTCAAATATTTAATCACAATCCAAATTCAGAGCTGTATCAAGCTTGAATGTTGTGTCCATATTGCCCCAACTGTTCAGGGTTCGACCTCTGCGGTCGTATCAAGCTGCGCCCAGCGAAGCATTTTATTGTAACTTCCAGACATAACTTGTGTGTAAGTGTATGGATCTCTCTGACATTGTACCACAAGGTTCCATATCACAAAGGGAATGCTGGGATTGATTTTGGGGGTAATTGCCTCCAAATTTTAGGAATAAGGGGCCAAAAAGGGGCAAAAAACAAGCATTTTTCTAGTTTCATGACAATAACTTGTGTGTAAGTGTATGGATCTTTCTGAAATTGTACTACAAGGTTCCATATCACAAAGGGAAAGCTGGAATTGATTTTGGGGGTAATTGCCCACAACGTTTAGGAATAAGGGGCCAAAAAGGGGCCCAAAATAAGAATTTTTCTAGTTTCCAGACAATAACTTGTGTTCAAGTGTATGGATCTCTCTGAAATTGTACTGCAAGGTACCATACCACAAAGGGAAGGCTGGGATTGATTTTGGGGGTAATTCCCTAGAAATTTGAGGAATTAGGGGCCATAAAGGGGCAAAAAAAACAAGCATTTTTCTGGTTTCAGGACAATAACTTGTGTGTAAGTGTATGAATCTTTATGAAATTGAACTGCAAGGTTCCATATCACAATGGGAAAGCTGGGTTTAAATTTGGGGTTAATTGCCCTAAATGTTTAGGAATTTGGGGCCAAAAAACAAGCATTTTTCTAGTTTCCAGACAATAACTTGTGTTCAAGTGTATGGATCTCTCTGAAATTGTACAGTAACAGTACTGCAAGGTACCATACCACAAAGGGAAGGCTGGGATTGAGTTTGGGGGTGATGAATCATAAGGGGTTCAAAAAATTTGGGGGGGGGGATTTTTTTTTCCTTTTTTTTCTTTAAAATTTTCCATTTTAAATTGGTTATTTCTGATTTATATATAAAAGCAAATAATAATGATATGGTTTGAATAGATAAATTAAAAAATTTTAAGTTCTTAGACCACATTCATTCTGTGTCAGAAACCTATGCTGTGTCAAATATTTAATTACAATCCAAATTCAGTGCTGTATCAAGCTTGAATGTTGTGTCTATACTTGCTCCAACTGTTCAGGGTTCGACCTCTGCCGTCGTATCAAGGTGCGCCCCAGCGGAGCATTTTATTTAAATACTTAAAGCGGTTGGTCAACAATATTTGATGTATGAATTTGAAATGATTGTCAGATGTACATGTCTGTCTGGCAGGTATAATCTAACCATGACCTCAATGTTATGGTTCATTGGTCAATTTTAGTTTTAGTGTTTTGGTCTGTTTTACAATTACCATATGCAAAGGTCAGCTATATTTGGTGTATGGAATGATTGTAAGGACTACATGTCTGTCTGACAGGATTTACCTGACCTTAACCTCATTGTCATGGAAATTTAAAAATGTTAAGGTTATGTGATTCTTGTAGTAAAACCTTTATCTTTAAGACTTCCAATATAAAGTCAATGGTCAGTAAAGCAGGTGAGACATTTCAATCTTATTTTACCCTTAACTGTTGGATTTGTTTTATGAATGAACGATTGCAGGATAAACTTTAAAATACATTCACATCAAAATGCTATTGTTCTGTCAAAAGGCAAATACAATAGTCAATAGGAATATATATTAATGATATCTTTTTTATTGCAATCTAGTCTTTACTTATTTTACTTCCTGATCTAGAAATGAACTTTAGTTGTTAAAACTTATATATTTGATTTGGTTAAAATATACTATGTCACGTGGTAGCCTGCCATAGAGGACTGTATCAAAGACCTAGAAAAACCATCTGTACAAGTGATCGTAAATTTTCAAGACATTCCAAGATTCTGGTTTCAGACGATATTTGAATGACCCATAGAAGCTACCAAAACTCACCAATATAAAGGCATGAACACCCTGAGCAAAAATTTGAAAGTGGAAGAAATATAACTCTTCCTCCAAAATAATTTACTTGTACCAGTCATAAAAAAAAATTGATTGTATGTAATAAAGGATCCTTTTGACAATTATGAAGAAGAAAAAAACTCATTATTTTTCTTTTACAGACAGGCTGAAAAAGATTGAAGAAAATGGGCTAGGTTGCAGAAATATCAATATCTAGGACATTTGCAAGTTTTGTAGTTCCTTTGGGTCTTGTGCTATATGTTTAACCTTGTTTTCCCCAGGCAGTTTTAGCACTGAATTATTCAGCACTGTGTTATTGGACAGACCACAGCTCTAACAAATCACATCACATCGATAATTTGTGTGATAGTTTATTTTACCTAACATGCCTAATGATGTCAAATATTGGAGGGGCTAGTTCAATGAAAGAACAAAATGGTGTCATTGGCAAAACTTTTATTTTCAAAAAAAAAGCTGTTTCTTTCTCGAGTTTTATACGTCGTATATTGGTATGACGTTGGCGTCGTCGTCGTCCGAAGACACATTGGTTTTCGCACTCTAACTTTAGTTTAAGTGAATGGATCTCTATGAAATTTTACCATAAGGTTCAATACCACAAACGGAAGGTGGGGATTATTTTGGAGGTTATGGTACCAACAGTTAAGGAATTAGGGGCCAAAAAGGGGCCAAAAAGGGGCCAAAAATAAGCATTTTTGTAACTTCAAGACATAACTTGTGTGTTAGTGTATGGATCTCTCTGACATTGTACCACAAGGTTCCATATCACAAAGGGAATGCTGGGATTGATTATGGGGGTAATTGCCTCCAAATTTTAGGAATTAGGGGCCAAAAAGTGGCAAAAAACAAGCATTTTTCTAGTTTCATGACAATAACTTGTGTGTTAGTGTATGGATCTCTCTGACATTGTACCACAAGGTTTCATATCACAAAGGGAATGCTGGGATTGATTTTGGGGATAATTGCCTCCAAATTTTAGGAATTAGGGGCCAAAAAGTGGCAAAAAACAAGCATTTTTCTAGTTTCATGACAATAACTTGTGTGTAAGTGTATGGATCTTTATGAAATTGTACTACAAGGTACCATATCACAAAGGGAAAGCTAGAATTGAGTTTGGGGGTAATTGCCCAAAATGTTTAGGAAAAAGGGGCCAAAAATAAGCATTTTTCTAGTTTCCAGACAACAACTTGTGTTTAAGTGTATGGATCTCTCTGAAATTGTACTGCAAGGTACCATACCACAAAGGGAAGGTTGGGATTGATTTTGGGGGTAATTCCCTCAAAATTTTAGGAATTAGGGGCCATAAAGGGGCAAAAAAACAAGCATTTTTCTAGTTTCAGGACAATTACTTGTGTGTAAGTGTATGGATCTTTATGAAATTGTACTGCAAGGTTCCATATCATAAAGGGAAAGCTGGGTTTGAGTTTGGGGGTAATTGCCCTAAACATTTAGGAATTTGGGGCCAAAAAGGGGCCAAAAAACAAGCATTTTTCTAGTTTCCAGACAATAACTTGTGTTCAAGTGTATGGATCTCTCTGAAATTGTACTGCAAGGTACCATACCACAAAGGGAAGGCTGGGATTGAGTTTGGTGGTGATGAATCATAAGGGGGTTCAAAAAATTTGGGGGGGGGGGGGGGAAGGTTTCCTTTTTTTTCTTTAAAATTTTCCACTTTAAATTGGATATTTCTGATTTATATATAAAAGCAAATAATAATGATATGAATATTGAATAGGTAAATTAAAAAATTTTAAGTTCTAAGACCACATTCATTCTGTGTCAGAAACTTATGCTGTGTCAAATATTTAATTACAATCCAAATTCAGTGCTGTATCAAGCTTGAATGTTGTGTCCATGCTTGCCCCAACTGTTCAGGGTTCGACCTCTGCGGTCGTATCAAGCTGCGCCACAGCGGTGCATTTTATTTTCACTTAAAAGAATAAAAAGATGCAGAAATTTCATGATAGGGGTTGAAATTACTCGAGTAATAATTTCCAAAATATTTAAGGAGTTTTACCCTTTCTCTGACAACATATTTGTGTTGCTCTTTTGAAGCATCTACTATTATTACAGTTTAGTGTTGACAACTAAATTATTGAACTTGCATTGCTTTAAGGGAAGTATTCCAGTTGTCCAGGGATTTTTTACAACCCGGTATGATAACTTGTCTTTTTATTGCAATTTACAAAACCTTATACGGAATAAAGAAAACGCAAAATCGTATAAATTAATACAAAAAAATTTAGCTAACTATGAAAATTAGGTATTTCTTTTTAAATATTAATCAATATTAACAGAGGATTGCCTGGATTTGAAATAGGATTTAATGATTGATATTGTCAAAATGTTAACAGGAACAGGAAGTTGAAGGGAGACAATTTTGGAGGGAACCAATATTGGTGATAATTTAAATATTATTAAGTTATCAAACACATTCTTTATAGGAAGTAGTAATTTTTCAATTGGCAAAAATATAAGTCTTTATTGATAACCCACCTTAAATCATAAAAAATGTATTCCTGCAAAAAAATAACTCAAAAATGCTATCACCAATTATCAAGCAACTTTGGTTAATTTTTGATATCTTTTGACGCAAGCTCCCTTTCTATTTTTATAAATTTTAGATTTTATGTTTCAGAGTTATGGGATTTTCCAGTTTTCTGACCATAACTCAAAAATACTTCGAGCATTTTTCATGAAACTTTGGTGAATTGTTTATATACTGTGAAAGTACTTTTATTCGTGGGTATCAATTTTCGTGGATTTGGCAAAAGTAACTGTTACATGTTCGTAGGTTCTTAAAATTGTGAATTTTAGTTTCTAAAAAATATTCGGGGGAAAGAATTTGAACCCATCAGAAATGAAGATTATTGAAAATAATCATATGGTGTTCATTTTCACTTACTTGTTCATCTTTCATTTCTGACAACTTTAATCAAATTTTTATACCCCACGCAACGAAGTTGCGGAGGGTATAATGTTTTTCACCCATCCGTCCGTCAGTCCTGTTCTTGTCATCGCAACTCCTCTGAAACTGCACAACAGAATTTCATGAGACTTTGTAGATAATAAGGACATACTATGTAGATGATCATATCGACAGGAAATTACGATTCAATTTTTTTTCTAGGAGATATGTCTCTTGAACTTAGAATTTTGGCCAAAATATACTACTGCAACAGTTTGTCATCGCAACTCCTCTGAAACCGCACAGCAGAATTTCATGAAACTTTGTAGATAAAAAGGACATACTATGTAGATGTGCATATCGACAGAAAATTACGATTCAATTTTTTTTCTAGGAGTAATGCCCCTTTAACTTAGAATTTTGGCCAAAATATACTTTTTCATCGCAACTCCTCTGAAACCGCACAACAGAATTTCATGAATCTTTGTAGATAATAAGGATATACTATGTAGATGTGCATATCAACTGGAAATTATGATTCTATTTTTTTCTTGGAGTTATGCCCCTTTAACTTAGAATTTTGGCCAAAATATACTTTGTCATCGCAACTCCTCTGAAACCGCACAACAGAATTTCATGAAACTTTGTAGATAATGAGGACATACTATGTAGATGTGCATATCGACAGGAAATTACTGTTGAATTTTTTTCTAGAAGTTATTCCCGTTTGAACTTAGAATTTTGGCCTAAATATACTACTGCAACAGTTTGTAATCGCAACTTCTCTGAAACCACACAACAGAATTTCATGAAAGTTTTTAGTTAATGAGGACATAATATGTTAATGTGCATATCCACAAGAAAATTTTTATCAGTTGACTTTTGTAGAGTTATGAGTCTTTGAACTTAGGAATCTGGTGAGATTTTGTTTGTCCAGTGACAATGTGGGGGCGTGGGGTATGTGAGCGTGCTCACAAAGGTTCTTTAATTAATAAGATAATTTCTGAATACAAATTGCAAAGTAAACATTTTAACTGTTGCACACATGTAATCAGAAGTGGTGACACTAATTAACCTGAGATTGAATGATCAACAGATTAACGATCATCAGAGGTTTTACTTGGGCCATAAACAAAGAAAAAGGTTTCATAAAAAAAATGCTACAGATGAACTTTGAATTAATACTTATGAAATAATACTTATGACTTAAAAAAACAAGGCCAATATGAAATTATTATTTTTTCGTGAGAGAATTAAGAGTTGATAAAATGAACACTTCATCATCCTCTATAACCACCAGAAGTCTTGACTTTCATCTTTCAAAACTAATTTTTCATGAGATTTAAAAGGTTTAAAGTCGTACAACTTAGGTTTTTTAAAAGATTAAAATCCTGTATGAAGTTGTCTCATTGGCAGTCATACCACATCTTCTTATATCTATATACATGCTTCACAGCTGGTGCTACGCCACTGCATATAGTTTATAGTGCTTTTGCTGATATTCAATGTTTTTTCTAGATTATACAAATGTTATATGCCTGTATCCATGTAGTCAAACCTATGGAATCTTTCCATGTCTTGATTTGGACAAAAGTTGTTATATTTTGTTGGATAAAACCTTCCACGAAAAACCCCACTAATAAAAGTACTTTCACAGTATACTGACATAAGTTCCTTTTTCGATTTTTATCATGTGCTCATGATGAGGAGCTTTATTTTCTTTGATAGTTAAAAATTTATCCATTTAACATGCAAAACAAATTTGTTTCTGAAAAGGTTCCCTAAGGTTTTATTGCATATTTGGTAAAATAACCATACCATTTTAAAAATCTTACATTACACTAGAGCTAGCTAGTACATAGTAATCAGTATTGTTGCAAGGTGAGTGATACTGTCTACTTGGAGCCTTTAATTAGATGTTCTTAGCAAAAGTCTGTTTAAATGAGATATAGGGCAAGATTGATGACTGAAATTATATTGAATGTATTAGATATGTAAATATTATAGAGTATGAATATACAATGTTTCATGAAGCACTTGTAGCAGATCAAAGGAAAGACTGTTCAGAGCTAGCTGGTTCAAATATTAGATATTCTTAGACCTGAATGGAGATATAACTTGATTTAGCCTATCATAGCCAGAAACTTTTTAACCAGTAAAATTTACTAGCAAGTCAAGTTTCGATTAATAAATGAATATCTTCAAATAAGTTATACATAATTAAAAACCCTGGTGATCTGTGATTTTACTCCTATTTTGTTTTTGTAAAGATGTGAATTGTTGTTTTGTTGGTGTTCTTCGTTTGTTTTGTTTTTCAAATATTTATTGAATTTGTACATATTTTTACTGGTATTTTATAATGAAATATATAATCAAATTTTCAGGCTGCAGAAAAGTGTGATTTTGAATGAAATAAAATGAATTTTACCATTGATGAAGAATCAGTCAATTATAGGCATTATACTATGATGAAAATGTTATACATACTGATATTGTATCATAATTCATCAGTTTGTTTAATTTTATTTATTTATGTAAATAACCTTTAACATAATTGATGTTGATATAATTTTCTCTTTCTTTAGCTCACCTGACCCATATAGGGTCAAGTGAGGTATTCTCAGCTATCACTTCCAACCATCGTTGTCTGTTTACTTTTACTCAAATCTTCTCTCCTGAAACTACCTGGGTCAAATCAATGGAACCAAACTAGGCCACACTCATCATTAGGGTATCTAGTTTTTTAAAGAGTTTGTCTGATACCCCACCCACCAACCAAGATGGCTGCCATGGCTTGTATCTCTAAAACTAAAGCATTTAGAGCAAAACTTTGGAGTTAAAAATGTTCATCAGGTCAAGATAAACAAATTAAGATTTACAAAAAAGTCAACATGACCAAAATCGTCAACTGAACCCTTATCAGAGTTATTGCTCTTGTAAGACAAGTTTTCACAATTTTCTGTTCAATTTTGTGAAATTTTACAAAAGTTTTCTTGAAACTGTCTGACAATAATTCATAGGTTATCTAATATGAAAAATATGTCCAATGATTCTGCCAGCCAACTAACATGACTAAAATTAGAACATGGGGTAAAATGTATGTATCGTCCATTGAAAGCCACTTTAGATGTAGAAAATCTGACAGGGCAGAAATGTTTAGAATATTGAGATCTAAAAAATTGTTTGTTTATGTCAAAGTTTTCTTTCCACCTTTTTTAAGAAGTTATTGCCCTGAAATGACGATTTTTATGATTTTTTTGTGTTTTCACCTATTATTTTGAAAATTATAATAGACCGAGAGAACCTTTTTAATTGCAGAAAAAAATCAGCAAGATAATATCCACAAATAAGTTAGTTTGATAGTAACTTTTTGTGATAGATCAATGACATTTCCATAAAGTTGCATCACTATGACAACTATTTCAAGCCCCTGACCTCTAGGTCATATATCATGGTCCAGTTAATTAATTAGCAATTTTCAATGTTAAGTTTTCTGCTTAAGTCTGTTTGATAGGAACTACTTGTGAAAGATCAATGATATTTTGTATAAAGTTGCATTACTATCAGTACATCTCAGTTTGTCACCATTTAGAGGTGCTGCCCCATAGGTCATGGTCCAGTAACTTTGAATATATGAATAGCAATGTTGCTGTCCATCAGATGGTCTTTTTCTGAATTTTCTGCTACACAGGTACAGGCTCCTTAGAGCCTTAAGTTTGATTCCAGCGTCACTGATGAGTCTTTTGTAGACTAAACATGCATCTGGTGAACAAAATTTTAAACTTGGTATCTTTGATGAGTTCATCTGCATTATAGTTATGAATATTTTTGTTATGATGAAGTTATATTTTATTTTTCTATCAAATGCTGATACATTTATCATTTTAAAGAATTTTACACCTATCATTTTGTATATATATATATATGTGTGTATGTAACTTTTTTGAGTTTCTGGATTAATAAACTAGTTTTACC